GAATAGCCAAGAAAACAAATGAATGGATTATTGAACAAATCAACCCAGAGTTCTCACTCAAGGCAGAAATGACTAGGCTCAAGTTATATTTTGTACATATTATGCAAAGAATTACCTCTCTGGAGAGGTCTATAATGTTGGGAATGTGGAAGGAAAGAGAAGAAGAGGACAACCAGCAACAAGGTGGATGGATTCAGTTATAGAGACAATGGATGCACCATTGAATGATCTGAAGGACCAGATTGAGCACAAATCCTCATGGAGAAAATCTATCTGTGTGGCTGCTAAGAGTCAACATCAACTTAATGGCACATAATCACTCAGTCAGGATAGTGAAAATACTTTTAAACAAATGACATTTGTTATAAGCTTTCCTCTCTTATGTTTCTAGTAAAGCATCATCTATGTACTTATGAGCTCAGTAGCTCCATGAATAACAGACCTCTTTACATTTCCATATAAACCAATAGCAAATATATAATAGCAAAAGCCAATACCAAAAGTACATGGAAAAAATGAAATTGACAGCCACTTGCAACAGTTTAGGCATCACTGGTCAAACTATATGCTTCAGTGAATTCCTAAATGAATAGAAACTGACACAACCACAACATTATTACAAAAATCTATTATTTTTTCCACCTGTACACAATTTCCTTGCCACTGGGTGCCCAACAACTCCAAAGAGACACAAAGCTACTCCTGTGCTTAATGTCTGGCAAGGTGTTCTCTTCGTGAAATGTTTTACCCCTTTTGCCCAAATGTGTAGTTTGTGGCTAAACAAGTTCACTTTACATTTCATCAGTCCAAAACACTTTGTTCCAAAATATTTCAAGCTTATCAGGGTTTTATTTTGCATACTTTAGATGATGTCTTTGTGATGAGGTCAGAGAAAAAAATGTCCTTCTGACAACTCTCTCATGTATGACCAATTCTGTACTGGGGTCCTGTGGACAACTACAACAGTTTCAGCTAAACTTTTCAGTAGGTGGTTTATAGTAATCTTTGGATTCTGTTTTGCAGATCTGGCTAGTTTTTAGGAAATTCTAGCAGTTATCTTTCTAGGTCTTCCAGTTCCTGCACTGATTTCAATAATGTCATGTAACTTTCCTTCCTTAACAATATTTTTCATAGTGGAAACAGATAGCGGGAAGCATTTAGAGACCTTTTAAAGCCCTATTGTGCTTTATATATGTGAATTATCTTCATGTTCAAATGCTCAGACACCTGCTGCTTAGAGGAGCCCATGGCTACTAAAAGTAGGAAGAACAACAATCACAATCTGAGAGTGGAAGAGCCAGTATTTGTTCAACTGTGGAATTGTATTCACCTGGCTAATTGTAGACCTAATATTTGGGGATTTATTAATACTTTTACATTTTTTAAAAAGTAGTCTCAATCAACTGGAATGGTGTTCAAAGTTCTGCACTTGCCTTATCCACTATTTTCTTATTTTGAATCTGTAAACAACTGCACCTCAAATTTGCATAAATACGTTGTGTTTTACTTTGTACTATGCAGAGACTCTGTCAGCTTCTGTTCACATAGGGATTTATTGAAACAGAGCAATTTGAGCAGGGGTATCCAAGTCTTGCTTTAAAACAGTCTGCAGTCAGAACAAAAACTAAAAGAACTGGGGCAGGAACTAAACTAAAGAAGATCAGAAACTAAGCAAACAGTATTAGTCACAAATGCCAACTCCTGAAATCTTACCTGCCCAGGTCTCTAGGGTTGAGTCCTTCTAAGATCTCATCCTCTGAATCAGACATAAGATTCTTGTCGTATGGGGTTTTAATCCTGTGTCAACAACCTCTCAGGATCCTGGACTACTTTGCCTCCAGTCTGAGGTTTCATGTAGGCTACTACTTCCTAGAGATCTGAGTCAAGTCATGGTGTCTGATTGGCCTCTGAGCAAATTCCTTCAGCAGAGCACCACAAAGCAAGGTGCAATGTTTGCATATGAGTCTCACATTTTGAACATCTGAAAATATCTGGGAACAAGATTTTCACATGGCAATAAAAAGCTCAGTGCATGTGATGCAATGTTAATCACTGCTCTTTGGGCTGGAGCAAAAAAGGTTGTGATATCATTATTTGAGGCAATACATCAGAAAAAAGATCAAGCTCATTTTAGCCTGCTTATTTATGTTTTTCTTTTTTCCCAGGGTTGAAAGAAATGAGCCCTATTTAACAGGTTTAGATGTAAAATGGAAGATAACTCCTAAAAGTATATACTGTCCATACTTCATATATCCAAGAGAATTATTAGGAATGTGACCTTCCTACTATATCAGTAGCTTTAGAGGCATTTATATAAGAAAGCTTCTAAGTAGTAGTGTCCTTCTATATTTCTAACGCTAGGCATTTTTTTACTGTTTATAAATTGCCTTTTGTCAAATTTTATTCAAGATTGCTGAAAGTACTATTACTAAGGCAGATATACATACTGTAGTAATCCACATTATTTATTTCAAATGCCATCCCTTTATATTACTATTTTTATAATTAATGCTTAAATTAGGACATCTTTAATCTCAAACTTGAACTATTTTACTAATATGGTTCATGCATCATACTAAGATATGGTTGGTTAACTATGTTTATTGAATGAATCACAACTGTTTAAGGTGTGCAACATGCTAAGCCATAAACTAGGGATACCACTTCTAACTCAACCTCTTTAACTACTGACAAGATGGATTTCCAATAGCATGGAGATGTCACTAGAAGGCTCAAATTTTCAGCCAGTTTTATGCTCAGTTTTGGAGAGGTTTTAAGGTTGGGAATGTGTGAGTTTTGCTTCACTAAACCCTTGCAATCTGATTTCTGTTTTTAAAATATGCTTCAGAAAGCTGGACATTTTGCTCCCAAATTTCCATGTCAGAATGGGATTTGGGGAGCACATAAGGTTTGTTGATTATTCATCCTTGAAATAAATTATGTACAAACCCAGTGTTTTGGTTTATGTAAATTAATAAATTATGTACAAACCCAGGGTTCGTAAATATCATATCAAACTATGTTGCCATTTGTTTGCTTTTAGCTTAATTAGTTGTGTGAACTAAGCCATTTACTCTTTCAATGTTACTGTTAGGTCACATTTCTTCTCCTCCTCCTTCCTCTAGACAATTATAACATAATTATGGATTCAATCAGAAGGATTTTCAAGCAGTTTCAGAACAGTGTATCAGTTCAGAATCTTGGTAGTATTGTGACTTTTGAATTGTAATTAGAGTTTTAGAAGGAAAACTGATGCATAGGTTATAGTAACACAAATTTATCTTTTAATGAGATAAAATGAGGCACTGTAGACCAGTGATGGCCAATCTTTTGAACAAGTATCAGTTTTATTTTATAAGCCTTTGTTATCTATAATAGTTATAATAGCAAAACTACAGATGACACATTAAAAAAAGACTTTATACATGTACAAATACTTATCCACCATTTTATACATGCACAAAGAAACAAAACAAACAAAAAACAAAAAGGGAAAGTGTGGAAACTTTCAAAGTTCATGTGAAAACACTGACCACATATACTGAGCTTGGTCTCTTTTTATCAACCAGTTATGTAAAATAGCTGGTTATGAAATTAGGTATAATACAACTACCTATAAGAAGCAATATCACTCATTATTAATACCCCAAATGGAACAGTGTTCTATTCATGGTTTACCATGATGGTGTGGTTCATGCCATTGTAGTTTGTAAACCACTATGTGTAGTTCAACATGCTGTGTGAAACCAACTGTAAGTTAAGCTCTCCTGATACACTTGCAATTCAGGCTGTTTTCTCTAAGGAACATACTTTTGTGCCATCATAAAGTTCTTAATTTGTGCAACAGAATTCATAAAGAAATGCCAGTTCCCCAGAAGCTGCACATTACATTGCCTCAGTTCCAAAAAAAAGGAGAGGTCTTGCCTAGACTTTCTTGAAGGGAACAGAAAATTAAGTTCAGGTTCTACATATATTGCAAAAGCTATGCTCTACAACACACTAACCCAAAATTAACTAAATCATGGTATCCCTGATTATTTCAACTTACACAACAGATTGATTAGTTTGCCTAACAGCAGTATGAGAGACGATACCTAGACTGGTGCTCTCCTTCTCCCCCTTTATGCATGGATTCCCTTCCCCTTTTCATGATTTTTTTGAGCCACAGTTTCTCATGATGCTGAAACTACCAATGCTTAACACCTGTTGAAAAGCATAGCTGAAGAAAGTCAGCTGCTTAATAGTCATTTTCAGAGTTATTGGTAGGTGATTGTTATAGCATTTTTCAAATTCCAGACAGACATAATCATCCTATAGTGCTGTATTTTAGAAATGCAACTTGCAGTTTTGCCTTTATATCTATGGTATTAAATTTTATACTTATGCATATGCATGAACAGAAAAAGGCATCTACATATTTAATACTTTTTATATAAATAGCATATCATTAACTTAAATTAGTGCCTGTGGCTTTGTTGTATATAAAATAGTTGTGCAGTGCACTGTTTATTCAACCTTATATATATTTCACGCATATTTAGGAAAATATTCTTCTGTTTAGTCCCAAAACACAGACAATATTACTATCTACCAAGACAGACATTTTGCCCCCAAAGACAGATATCTGATAGCAGACAAAAGTACTGCTATGTTGGTTATGTTGGCTGTTTCTATTATTAGCAGGATTCACATTTGAACAATTACAAAGTAATTCAGTTATACAAAGAAAAAAAGTTTCATTTTGCCATTTGTTTTTAAAGTTTTGTCCATTTCATTTTCTATAATTATAGCTCATTTGTTGTTTTTCATTACAGTGCTACATCGGGATACGAACGCCTCTACTAACGAACTTTTCGGGTTACAACCAGCTCCGGCCGCAATAATTTACCTCGATGTGCAAACTCCGCCTCGGGGTACGGTCTTTTTTCCACCCCTGACACATGGTCCGTGGCCATTTTTCAGCCCCTGATACGTGGTCCGCGGCCATTTTTCTGCCCCTGACATGTGGTCCGTGGCCATTTTTCCGCCCCTGACACGTGGTCCGAAGCCATTTTTCCACCAGACTCGTGGTCTGCGGCCATTTTTCCGCCCCTGACACGTGGTCCACGGCCATTTTTCCGCCCCTGACACATGGTCCGTGGCCATTTTTCAGCCCCTGATACGTGGTCCGCGGCCATTTTTCTGCCCCTGACATGTGGTCCGTGGCCATTTTTCCGCCCCTGACACGTGGTCCGAAGCCATTTTTCCACCAGACTCGTGGTCTGCGGCCATTTTTCCGCCCCTGACACGTGGTCCACGGCCATTTTTCCGCCCCTGACACATGGTCCGTGGCCATTTTTCCGCCCCGACACGTGGTCCGCGGCCATTTTCCCGCCGCACCGCGCAGTGTCCGGCCGTTTTCCCGCCGCGCCGCACGGCGCCCGGCCGTTTTCCCACCCCTGATGCGTGGTCTGCGGATGCCAGAACGGATTAACAGTAATTACATTGAACCTTATGGGAAAATTTGCTTCGGG